TTGTTTTTTAATATTTTTTTTCTTTTTTACTCATCCTTCTTCTGGACTTGGATTCATTCCTTCAGCAAAACCTGACAACCTGAGAAACCAGTGATTATTCTAGACCAGGGATAGTCAATCCTGGTCCTCGAGGTCCGCAGCCCTTCATGTGATACTTTTTTCCCTTCCCTAACACACCTGATTCAGTCAGTGAATTACCTCTTCCAAGTCCTGCAGAAGCCTGAGAATCATCCATTCATTCAAACCAGGTGTGATGAAGCAGAGAAACAAGTAAAACGTGCACGGCTGTGGACCGCGAGGACCAGAATTGACTATCCCTGTTCTAGACTAAATTAACTGGACTCTGAGAAAAAGTTTAAATTTTTTTCCTCCACCATTTGTGCCGCCCCCGGTGCCCACAGCATCTGACTACACTGCATATACCACGGGTCAGCCCTGAGAGGCAGGTACTTGGATTTTGTGTTTGAAGCTGGTCAAGAATTTCTGAATTTACAAGTCAGAAGTAATGAAATATTTAAATATTTATTAAATATTTGATGCCTTAATCATGTGGATGTGAGTAGGAGGGACCTATAGTACATATTCTTAAGGTGGAGGCTCCAAAAACAACATGATAGCACCCATAAACCCAATTCTACCGGCTTCAGTTTTGACCAGTGAGAAGAGGCAGAGGACGTATTTACATCTGACACATTTGGTCCACTTTATACTGACCAGAGTTTGTTTCCTATGTTGGTCCAATCCGGTGTGATTACGCTCTGGTGTGGATCAAACAACCTGACAGAGACTTAAGTTAAAGTACCGAAGTACTTACTTTTGAAAATACTTAAGTATTCAAAAGTACATGCATTTAAAATTACTCAAGTATTCAAAAGTACAGATTACATTTTCTACTATCAACACATTGCTGTATTGTTTTCAGTGTGAGTTTACAGAACCGTGTAGCTCTCAGAAACCACCTGATTTATTGACATGTACAACTCCTGGCAAAAATGATGGAATCACCAGACTTGGAGGATGTTCATTCAGTTGTTTGATTTTGTGGAAAAAAAGGCAGATCACAGACATGACACAAAACTAAAGTCATTTCAAAAGGCAACTTTCACTAAAAGAAATCAAGAAAAAGACACTTTTCTTATCCCATCAACTGAAAGGATGTTGGGCATGATGAAATCATTTTTCTAGATGATCATGCATCCTGCCATAGAGCAACAACTGTGAAAACATTCCTTGAAAAAAGACGCAGAAGGTCGATGTCATGGCCTCCAAATAGTCCAGATCTCAATCCAATTGAAAATCTTTGGTGGAAGTTGAAGAAAATGGTCCATGACCAGGCTCCAACCTGCAAAGCTGATCTGGCAACAGCAATCAGAGGAAGTTGGAGCCAGATTGATGAAGTTACAATTATGTTGTTTGTCACTCATTAAGTCCATGCCTCAGAGACTGCAGCTGTTAAAAAAGCAAGAGGTGGTTCAATAAAATACCAGTGTTGTTAGTGTTTTTTGTTTCTTTGTTTTTCATGATTCCATCATTTTTTCCTCAGAATTGAGTAATCACATATTTTTTTCCTCTGGCCCAAAAAGGTAACTGTTACTGACTGCCACAACTTTTTGTTGATTTCTTTTAGTGTTTCTTAAAGCCAGAAAGTTTGCATTTGAAAAGACTTTAGTTTTGTGTCATCTCTGTGATCTGCTTTTTTTCTACAAAAATTAAACAACAGAATAAGCGTCCTCTGAGGCCGGTGGTTCCATATTTTTTCCAGGGGTTGTAGAACCACTCTGCTACAAATTCCACACCACCTGTAAAGACTTCAGCATAAAAATGCAATAAAATGAATGGTGAGTTCTTAAATGTACAAATGTAGTTTATCCATAGTGAACTCATAAGATGTTTAAACTGATACCAACTATTTTTCAGTCCTAAAATCTCAAACAGAGCTGAGATATGATCATGGGTGTGCTGGTTTCTCTATTCTCTTCAATCGTCTCCATTGCTGGGTTCTGTCGTTGTGTCCTTGGGCAAGACACTTCACCCGCCTTGCCTACGGTGGCGCTGGAGCATGGCAGCCTCGCTTCTGTCAATGTGCCCCAGGGCAGCTGTGGCTACAGTGTAGCTTATCACCATCAGTGTGTGATTGTGAGTGTGAATGTCTGTAGGTGTAAAGAGCTTTGGGGTCCGGAGGGACTTGATAAAGTGCTCTATAAGTTCAATCTATTTACCATTTGTTTGAAATGTAGGTGGGAGCTCAGCTCGTGACCGTTAATGAAGATGATGTAACTCCAAATCTATCCTAGATGTGAGCTACAGCTGTGATTGGTTCCCCATGAGGAACGTAGTCTGTGGCCAATTCATTTCACGTAAGAAAAACAGCAACAGCTGATTACAAAGCTATGCTGAACCAAAAGTAACAAGTAACTAAAAGCTTCCTAGAAATGTAGTGGAGTAAAAAGTACAATATTTGCCTTTGAAATGTAGTGGAGTGAACGTAATACGTACCCCAAAAAATAATTGCTCAAGTAAAGCTACTCAAAAAATGTACTTAATGTCATGATTTGTGTTTGTGCTTATGATTTAGTCTTAGTTTTCTGTCTTTTCCTCCTGTTTTCTTCCTCCTGTCTGCCCTTTGCTTTAGCCCCGCCCACTCACACCTGATCCTCATGTTTCTTCCCCAGGTGTTTCTTGTTTTACCTCATTAGTTCTTCCTTTATGTTCTGTCCTTTGTCCTCCAGTCTTTGTCAGATCCTTGTTTCCTGTTTGATGTTCATGTTCACGTGTTCTTGCTCCTGCCCCAATCCCTTGTTCTTGTTTGCTGCCACGTCAGCGCATTTGTTTTTGCTTTAATAAACCTTTTTTTGCCACCCTCACTCAGTCTTGCATCCTGGGGTTCAAACCAACCAAGCTCAATCATAACAGAAGGATCTGACCACACCTGAACCCCAGCAGACTGAGGTGAGTTTTTTGGTTTCCAGCACCAGGAGGTAATGGAGAATTTTTTTTTCATGTGGTGACCCTGAGTCAGACTGCACTCAGGTTGGTCTCCTGAGAATGGTGGAGAAGATGCAGCGCGAGCTGGCTGTCCTGAAGGGACTCTTTTCTTCAGGGTGTCCCTTGGAGCTGGCAGCTCTGGGAGACTCTGAGACCCACCCTTCCCACCCCTCTGATGCTGGACCTCCTGCTCCAGCTCTGGTTCCTGTGGGCCCTCCAGCTCTGGTTCCTGTGGGCCCTCCAGCTCTGGTTCCTGTGGGCCCTCCAACTTTGGTTCCTGT